TCGAAGGTTTTTATGTATCCTTTAAAATATTCAAAGGGACCCCAATGTTTTGAACAGGTATTTTATAAACCAAATTTGATAATAATTTTTTGTGGTAAATATTAAATATATAATTTTCTTTTATTCAGAGACCCGTAATAAAATTCGATCTAGAATATTTTTTCCTTTGACACTCTCCACAAAAATTGAATTATTATGACAGATTTTCACTTCATATGGAAACGTTGTTAAATTAGCAGCAGTATGAGACGTGTAATTTTTACCTGTAATACATAAATTTCGAATGTAATTTTCTTAAAAACGATTAAACCTAGATGTATGGTTTATTCTGAAAATTTTAATAAAATTTTGTGTAGAACATTTCTCCTTTCGAGACTTTCGGCCAAAAACGAAATTTGATGTTAGTTTTATGCTTTAATTCGAAAATGAGGCCAAGGAAAAACTTATTTAAAAAATGGAAATATATATTTTTTGTCAATATTAATGCAAATATTTTTTTGATTTTGAATTGAAATAGGGATTTTTTTCCAGATACTCTTTGTTCAGAGACTCCCAATGAAATTTGATCTAGAATATTTCTTCCTTTGACAATCTCCCCAAAAAAATGCAGTATTAAGGGTGATTTTGACTTAGAATTAACTCATGTTAAATCAGGAGAAAAAAAAACTAATACATATAATTTTTTACTTGCAATATATAAATTCGAATGGAATTTTCTTAAAAAACTATAAGACCTAGTTGCATGGTTTATTCTGAGATTTATAGTGGAATTTAGTGTAGAACATTTCTTCTTTTGACACTTTCTGTCTAAAACAATTTTTTATGTTACTTTCATGCATCAAGGACGTGGAAAACATTGATCAAAAATGGAAATATTTCACATTTTTTGGCAATATTGATGTAAATATTTATTTGATACTGATCGGAAATAGGGATTTCTTTTCTTTGCTGACTTATAGTGAAATTTGATGCGGTTTATTTTTGTCCTTGACGTTATCCTTCTAAAATGATGCTTTGTAGGAGAATTTTGCATAAACTCAATGTTTATGTAAAAAAAAACTCAATGTTTAATAAAATATGTTTTTAATATTTTTGGATTCTGGGAGATTAATTCTTGTTCTATGAAAATATGAAATGAAAAATATTTCCTTTATAAAATTTTTCATTTGACATTTCTTTCCTTTATAAAAGTTTTCATTTCACATTTTCATATAATTTTCATAGAAGAATAATTGAGGCCCTGGCGTCTGAATAGTTACTTTGTAACTTTCGTAATTTTTATGAAATAACCCATTATTTTCAAACCACAGGTAAAGCAGAATGTAGTTTCTACTCATTCAGTTTTAAGGGTTTGTTTGTCTCAAGTCTACCGAATTTTACTTCCAAGGGTCCCCCTCATTATTATACCTCCTTTCTATGGATTCCCATGTTAAATTTCAAATATTTCCTCTTCGTTGTTGTTGTTACTGTTCTAATTAATAAAATTCATATTTTTATGATCGACCCAACCAACAGCCAGACAACAAAATATGTGCAGCCTTTTAAACTCCCCGTACCCCTTCCCCATACCTTTTTCCCCATGGCTTGCATTCAAACAAACAGTAGCAACATAAAGTTATTGTCTCCACACCATTCAATACTTTGTTGCCCAAGTTGACCACATTTTCTTTTGCGTGGTCTGACCAACGTCTTTGCAACTCTTGCCGATGTTTGTCATACCAACAGAAACAAACACATACAATCATACCTACATATGTTATCATTATAATGGAGGAAATGAAACGCAAGACTTTGGCGATAGAGGAAATTCTCTCTCTCGCTATTTAAAAAGGCTTTTCAATTTAATTATTGTTTACAGGTTGTAATCGTCTAATTAAAAGTGTTTTTGGAACACTCTCTTGCCGCCGCTGTGACCACTGCTGCTGCCTTTGTTAGTTATTAGCTACCAATAATTATGTGTGCTGGCCGAATGCGGTCGTTGGATGTGAAAAATGGAAAACATCAAAAGCGGCGGTATATGTTTTAGATAAGAAGGCCACATTATTTGCTGGGCAAATGCAAAGGAAGCTTTTGTTGGGATTATAAATAACTGTAGTTTATGACAATTGCCGGTAGTCGATATATGTAGTCGTCGGGCGGGACTATCGAGTTGTAAAGTGTGAAGAATTATGGTCATATATCTATCACAGGGAGTTGCACGCATAGATGGCAATGCAAGTAAGGGGAAAGGATGGCAGGAAGGGGAGGGTTTAAGAGAGAAATTGTGTAATTTTCAAACCTAATTGCCTGAATGTGAAGAATTGAGATTGGATTTATGTAAAATTGTTAATTCTTTAAGATAAAAGCTAAATTATATTTTTTTTAATTGTTCAAGGTTTGAGCGACATTGGGATATTTTGCGGATTTTTTTTTTGTTGATTATTTATTTATTTTTTTTTTATTTATTTATTTATTTATTTATTTTTTTTTTTTTTTTTGATAAAATTGATCATATCATCTTTGGATAATAAGGATAAATATTATTTTTAAAGTTATATTATTAATATTATTTTTTCTTTGCTTTATAACAATGAATGATATTTTCATCATTTAAAATAAATAAATAAAATGTGTACCCAATTCCAAAGATTTTATATAACTTTCTTTTTCCGACAATTCGGATAAATTACCTTCAACAGTTTGCAACAAAATTTTCAATTTTTCAACAATTGCAAGAGACATTCAGCAGGTTATGAAATTAGGGCTAGATAATGGTATAGGTGTTTTTTGAAAATACGCATTGCAAAATAAATTAAATAGAGAGGAAAGCAAGTTCTCTCTTCCATAATTTTTCAATTTTCTAATTTAGATTCCCTGGAATCCGTTGATTTAAGCTATATAGTGCCTTCGGCAATATTACAGATAACAATACAAGGATTATTTTGGTTCAGAATTTTTTAACCTCCAGCGAGTCTTTTTGGTATTTTTTTCAAAAAGAGGTCTTTTTGGTCCATTTTTGAAATATGATTAAAAACTCCCTTAAAACGAGATCTTATCAAGTCAAAATATTCTGCTAATTTATTCGTCATAAAATTCTACTATAGGTCACAAAAGACATCAAAAGTCTAAACCTTACCCAAATGCAAGGAATTCATTCAAATACATTTTATAATTAAAAAACTAAAAATTAAAAATAAAACAGTACTTTGTCTAAGTTTATGCAAAATTCCCCCATAAAGAATCGTTTTAGAAAATTGACGTCAAAAGCAAAAATGTTCCTCATCAAATTTCACTATAAGTCATCAAAGAAAGGAAATATCTATTTCCATTGCATATCAAAAAATATTTGCATTAATGTTTCCGAAAAATTTTCCATATTTTTAAAGCAATTTCTCCACGGCCCTTTATGAGATTATGCAAAATCCTCCCACAAAGCATCACTTAAGGAGGATGACGTCAAAGTAAAAATTATTCTATATCAAATTTCACTATAAGTCACCAAAGAAAAGAAATCTCTATTTCCATTGTATAACACGAAAATATTCGCATCAATGATGCCCAAAAAATCGAAAAAAATTTAAAGCAATTTCTACACGGCCTTTTATGAGTTTATACAAAATTCATTAACAAAGCATCATTTTAGAAAAGTGAAGTCAAATACAAAAATGTTCTTCATCAAATTTCACTATAAGTCATCAAAGAAAAGAAATCTCTATTTCCAATATATATCTAGAAAATATTTGCTTTAATGTTGCCAAAAAAACGCAAAATATTTCTAATTTTTTAAATCAATTTTTCCAAGTCTTTGTATGATTTTATGCAAAATTCTCCCTCAAAGCATTATTTTAGAAAATTTTCTTTAAATACAGAAATATTCTCCACCAAATTTCACTTTAAGTCACCAAAGAAAAGAAATCTCTATATCCATTCAATATCACGAAAATATTTGCACCAATGTTGCCTAAAAATAACCAAACATTTTCCAAATTTGTATAATAATTTTTCCACGGTCTTTTATGCATTTATGCAAAATTCTCCCACAAAGCATCATTTAAGAAGAAGTACCTGAAAGACAACAATATTCTCCAACAAATTTCATTTTAAGTCACCAAAGAAAGTAAATCCCTATTTCCATTCAATATCACGAAAATATTTGCAACAATGTTGCCTAAAAATAACCAAAAAATGTTCCAAATTTGTAAATTAATTTTCCTCGCCCTTTTATGAATTTATACAAAATTCACCCACAAAGCATCATTTTAGAAAAATTTCTTCAAAGACAAATTTATTCTTCATCAAATTTCACTAAAAGTCACCAAAGAAAAGAAATCGCTATTTCCATTGTATAGCACAAAAATATTTGCATTAATGTTGCCGAAAAACCCGAAAATTTTTCCATATTTTTAAATCAATTTTTCCACGTCTTTTTATGAGTTTGTGAAAAATTCTTCCACAAAGCATCATTTTAGAAGAATTACATCAAAGACAAAAATATTCTCCACCAAATTTCACTATAAGTTGCTAAAGAAAAGAAATCGCTATTTTTATTGTATATCACAAAAAAAGATTTCCAAAAGATTTCCAAATTTTTAAATCAGTTTTTCCAAACCAAACCAAATATGGACCAAAAAGACCCGTTTGGTGACTCGCCTGAGAGTTAAAATTGCAAACCGAAATAATCCTTGTTTTGTCATCTGCAATATTGCAGAAGACAATATATGGCCAAAATTAACGGATTTCAAGATATCTTAATCTGAAAATATCAATAACTTTGTGGGGGAGGGGGAAACTTGCCCCTCTATTTTGGTTATTTTTCTACATAAATTTTCAAAATGATGCAAATGTCTTCTCCTTCTTTTTTATTTTTATTTATTTTATTTGCTCTACTTTCATAATCTGCTGGATTTTTCCTGAAATTATTTTTTGGTGTTGCCCAGTGTAATTAGTCTTAAATACATTTACCCCACTTTTATTTGAATTTTTACTAAAAAATCCCTTTTTCTCTCTTATTTTACTTTTAGCCCGCACCCTGACCTGCTACTGTGAAGGCAGCTGTCCCAATAATGTTATCAACGGTACATGTGAAACCCGGCCCGGTGGATTCTGTTTCAGTGCAGTGGAAGAGGTCTACGATGAAATCACAGGCACCTATGAAGAGGAACGGACATATGGTTGCATGCCACCCGAGGAAAATGGTGGCTTTCTTATGGTAAGGGTTACAAATTTTATTCATAAAACGGATGAATTTTAATTCTCTCTTCCTCTCTCTCTCTCTCTCTCTTCCCTACAGTGCAAAGTTGCCTCCGTACCCCACCTGCATGGCAAGAACATCGATTGCTGCAACAATGTTGATATGTGTAATAGTAATCTGTATCCTGCCTTTACACCCAAACTTACCACACCCGCCCCCGAATTGCCAGTTAGCTCACAGTCGGTCCACTACTTGGCCATGATTGCCTCGATGATCATCTGCGTTTCAGTGTTTATTGTCATTGTGGTCGTAGTCTGTCTGACCTACAGACGGCGAGAGAAGCTAAGGAAACAGCCACGTCTGATAAGCAGCATGTGTAACAGCCAACTCTCTCCACTGTCACAAATGGTCGAACAAAGTTCGGGCTCAGGATCGGGTCTGCCATTGTTGGTCCAACGTACCATTGCCAAACAAATACAAATGGTCCGCCTGGTCGGCAAGGGTCGTTACGGTGAGGTCTGGTTGGCCAAATGGCGTGACGAAAAAGTTGCTGTCAAGACATTCTTCACCACCGAAGAGGCTTCATGGTTCCGTGAAACGGAAATCTATCAAACTGTGCTGATGAGACATGAGAATATTTTGGGCTTTATTGCGGCCGATATCAAGGGCAACGGCAGCTGGACCCAGATGCTGTTAATCACAGACTACCATGAGAACGGTAGTCTCCATGATTATTTGTCTACCTCGGTGATAAATCCCCAGAAACTGCAATTGCTGGCATATTCCCTGGCCGCGGGCCTGGCACATTTACATGACGAAATCTTTGGCACTCCCGGTAAACCGGCCATTGCCCATCGTGACATAAAATCGAAAAATATTTTAGTGAAACGCAATGGCCAATGTGCCATTGCTGATTTTGGTTTAGCCGTTAAATACATTTCGGAATTGGATGAGATACACATTGCCCAGAACACACGTGTGGGCACCAGACGCTACATGGCCCCTGAGGTGTTGAGTGAAACCCTGAATCCCCAGCAATTTGAAGAATTCAAACGGGCCGATATGTATTCAGTGGGTTTGGTCCTCTGGGAAATGGCCAGACGTTGTTACACCTCCAAGCCCGGGTCGAAGGCCACCACCTGTGAAGATTATGCCTTGCCTTATCATGATGTTGTGCCTTCCGATCCCACCTTCGATGATATGCATGCTGTGGTCTGTGTCAAGGGCATTAGACCGCCCATACCCTCACGTTGGCAAGAGGATGATGTTTTGGCCACCGTGGCCAAGATAATGCAAGAATGTTGGCATCAAAATCCCACCGTGCGTCTAACGGCGCTGAGGGTTAAGAAAACACTGGGGCGTCTTGAGCCCGAGTACATGGACTGTCCTATGAAAATTGTGTAGATTTAGGATAGATATGAGTGTATCATTATTATTATTATTTTCATAGTTTTAAGTTAATTAATTAATTCTTGTTTAAGTTGTAGAAATTAAGAGAGTTTAGTAGAGAAATTTAATTTGCCCTTTAACATCCTGAGATGTTGTTCATTTAAAGATTATTAAGTTGATTATATTTTTATTATCATTTTTAAATTAAGTTTTGTAAATTTCTCTTCTTTTTTTTCTGTAAAAATCTTGAAATTTATTTATTTTGAGTTAAAATTATTCATTATTTTGTAAAATATTTGGAAGTAATCCTCACCGACCGTCATAGTTTTTGTCGTATATATTTTAAGGGATAATGAAAATGTAGAAGATTTTAGAAAGCATTGAGAACGTTTTCCAACTTTTCGTGTTGAAAAGTTCAGTATCGATTATTTTTCCTATAGAAAAGTTCATTATTGATGTGTATTCTTAAAGGAATCAAATCTCCAATAGAGAGGCTATGCATAATAAGGTTATTTTTGGTAACCTTTTCTTTTGAAAAAGTCGATGACATTTTCTAAAATCATCATCGATGGCATTTTCTATTGGAAAAAGTCATCATCGAAATATTCATTAAAGGACAGAGGACTCCCAAAAGGTGTTCTATCATAGATGTCGGCCGAATCGGTCTGCTATGGACAAAAAATCAGAATAGTTTTTACTAATGGAAGCGATTTCTGGGCCATTAAAGTATGTGCTCCAAAAGGCCTTTTGACTATGGAAGATATCTAGAACACATTCTATTTATAAAACCTTCTGTTTGGTCTATAAAATAAACTTCAAAGAATTCTCAATTTTTGGAAGTCCAGAAGTTATGTTGCCACCCTAAAAGGTCTCTTTATTTAAGTTCGCCTATCTATAATGTTGCTACATTTGTGAATTACCAAAAGATGTCCTTCAAAAGGTCTTCTGACTTTCTGACTAAAAAACGTCGTTTTATTTCAAGGAAAAATCCGAAAAATATCTTATGTTTCAAAAAAGGTCTTCTATCTACAGAAGAATTTGAAAAGGTCTTTAAAAGGATCTTTAAATTCCAACAAATTTTCAAGTGTTTTTTTATTTCTAGAGGACCTCTGAAAGGATTCGACAGGGCTTCAGAAGGTCTTTTTTTTCAAAAACGACTTGAAAATGGTATTTTCCTTATAGAATATCTTCAGAGGGTTTCCTATCTACAGAGTACCTTGTAGTGGCCTTCTCTCCATAGAATGCCTCCTAATATTTTTCTATCTAAAGACCTTATTTCGAAGACTTCTACGAGACTTTACATTTGTAGAAGATGCCAAAAAGGTCTTCTATCTTTAGAAAATCTCATCTTGGATTTATAAAAATCCTCACAAAAAATATCCACATACCATTTCAGATTTAATTGTCTTAAATATCGCAAATATTGCTCCACAATATCCGCCTACCACCTTTGGTAATTTTATTATTGTCTTCTGAATGAAAACGGGCAGAGTGGCTGGGTACCAAAACAAATATTAAAAAAAATATGTTCTTTTAATTGAAAAATAATCTCTAAAAATCCTCTTTTATTGGTCTGAAGGTCTCTGAAATAATAGTCTTGAAAAAAACAACGTTTAAACGGCAGTTGGTTCTTGAAAAATTTCTCTTTAAAAATCAAAGTTTAATCAGCATATGGTCCTTGACAAATTATTCTTTAAAAATTCACGTTTATTTGTCCTTTGGTCCTTGAAGAAATATTCTTAAAAAAATCCACGTTTATTTGTCCTTTGGTCCTTGAAGAAATATTCTTAAAAAAATCCACGTTTATTTGTCCTTTGGTCCTTGAAGAAATATTCTTAAAAAATCCACGTTTATTTGTCCTTTGGTCCTTGAAGAAATATTCTTTAAAAATCCACGTTTATTTGTCCTTTAGTCCTTGAAGAAATATTCTTTAAAAATCCGAGTTTATTTGTCTTTTGGTCCTTGAAGAAATATTCTTTGAAAATTCACGTTTATTTGTCCTTTTGTCTTTGGAGAAATATTCTGTGAAAATTCACGTTTATTTGTCCTCTGTGGAAATAGATTGATTTACTCTTTTTAAAAAGTCATTTCCGATGACCTTTTCCTTTGGAAAATTCCATTTCCGATGATGTTTTTAATTAGAAAAAATAATTCCCGATTACCTTTTCTGTTAGAAAAAGCAATTTTTAACAGAAAATTTTCTCCGATGACCTCTTCTATTAGAAAAGTCATCTTCGATATCCTTTTTGCAAAAAATCAAATCCGATGACCTTTTCTGTTGGTAAAAGTCCTCTCCAATAAAAAAACTTCTACATTTTATTTCCCTGCCACCACCATTTTTTGCATTTTGTTTATTTGTTTAATGTACAAAGCCATTTCATTTAACTATTAGTTTAATATTAAAACTATTGCATGACATTATTATTAATATATTTTTTTTTTATCTGACAAAAATTAAGTTTATAATTTAAGAATTCAAAAAAAGAAACGAATATTTCAAACTACACCTTGTTTATGGCTTTAAAAAAATCCAATTTTTTTTGTTTGTTAAAATGATATTAAGTTATAGCCTAATAATTTTTGAAACCTATATACATTTTGGTTAAAAACAAAAACAAAGGCCTTAAAAATAATTTAAAGCAACTAAAAAAAGTAGTTTAGAAAAAAACTAAGAAAAAAAGTGCCAGTTTTTTTGAAATACAAAAAAGTAAATTTTTGCTTCACAAACGAAACGAGAAAGCCTACAAGAAATATGCTTTAAAAATTATTTACACAAAACAGAACAAAAAAAAAAACAAACTATATGCCTTAAAAATAAATAACAAAACTTTTAATATTAAGTTTATGTAAAATATATGAAAAAAGAAATAAACAAACTGCCTAGTTGTAACGAACGAAAATAAAGGCAATTACATAATGGTCTAATACATAACTTGTAAATAGGTTCAAGAAATTATTCACTATTATTTATTATTATTTTTTTAAAAAATATTAATAAAAAATATAAAACGAAAAAAGAATGTCTTCAAAAAAATATAATTTTAAAACCCAGAGTTTGTTTAACTTAGAAATTATTAAATTTTCTGTTTTCTATTTTGTTTTTTTCTTTCCTCCCTTGTAAATATTATTATAATTGTGTGTATGTTTTTGTTTTGAATGTAAAAATATGAAACAAATGCTAAAATGGTAATAATACTTTAACAAATAAAAACTAAAACTTAAGTTATGTATTTTACGTTAATTCATATTTTTTTTAACTTAAGTTCCCAAAAACTATAAGCAAACAAAAAAGTTATGTATTAATGAAATTAGTTTATTTAGCTGCAGTATACATTAGCGCTATATACATATTTACTTTCTACAATCACATGGTTAGAAAAACATTACATAGATACGTATATACACTTTGCAAAATCGTCTTTATACATATATATGAATATGAAATTATGTTAAAAAAATAATTAATTAATTGATATAAAAATAATAATAATTTAGTGTTTAGCCACGGTTTTAAGTTATTAATGTTAACAAAAAAAAAAAAAAAAAAACAACAATAAGAAGAAACTATTTAAAACCAACAACAGTCTCTTAGGAAACTGCAACAAAAACCACCCACTGGACAAAATTAATTTAATAAATAACCAATAAAATTTTTTGAAAACAAAAAAAATCTTGTGTGTTTTATTTCAGGGGAAGAGGAATTAAATTTTCAAAAAAAAGGTGGCAAAATAAGATATAAGAAAATATTTTTTTTTTTCATGAAAATAGGGTAAATTGTCATTGATTTGAACGGGATAACTGTATTGTGGACTGCACTGTGATTAACTGACAATTGCTTCTAAGCAGTTGATTTTAGCTTTCATCCTAAAAGTATGCTCTACATAATACCATTATTGGGTAATGAAATAACCAACTATTCACAATAAGTCAATAAAATGTTTATTTAATGGCTCCCTAAAGCTTGCCTCTCACATTATTATTATTGTTTCTTATTTAAAATTACGATATAAGATAAAATAATAAAGTCATTAAATTCAGGATTTTATTAAAATATTTTAGGGAATATAAAACAAAATAAACGTTTTTTTTTAATTATTTTTTTAAGGGCCATCAGTCAAATAAACTTTGATTATTTTTTCAAGGACCAACGGACAAATAAACGTGGATTTTGAGAAGAATATTTGTTTAAAGGCCTTCGGAAGAATGCTTTATAAGGACCTTTATACAAAAAACCGGATTTTTTAAAAAATGTGTTTCCAAGGATCAACAGACCAATAAACGTGGATGTTTAAAAAATATTTTTTCAAGGACCAACAGACCAATAAAAGGCCTTCGGAAAAATACTTTTTAAGGACCTTTATACAAAAACCGGATTTTTTAAAGAATAGGTTTCCAAGGATAAACAGCCAATAAACGTGGATTTTTAAAAAATATTTTTTCAAGGACCAACAGACCAATAAACGTGGATTTTTTAAAGAATATTTTTCAAGGACCAACAGACCAATAAACGTGGATTTTTAAAAAAAATATTTTTCAAGGACCAACAGACCAATAAACGTGGATTTTTTAAAGAATATTTTTTCAAGGACCAACAGACAAATAAACGTGTTTTTTTAAACGATATTTTTCCAAGAACCAACAGACCAATAAACGTGGATTTTTTAAAGAATATTTTTCAAATACCTTTAAACCAATAAACATGGATTTTTTAAAGAGTATTTTTTCAAGGACTTTTAAACCAATAAACTTGGATTTTTTAAAGAGTATTTTTCAAATACCTTTAAACCAATAAACTTGGATTTTTTAAAGAGTATTTTTCAAATACCTTTAAACCAATAAACGTGGATTTTTTAAATAGTATTTTTTCAAGGACTTTTAAACCAATAAACTTGGATTTTCAAAGAATATATTTTTTTCCAGGACTTGTAGACAAATAAACGTGGTTTTTCAAAGAATATATTTTTTTCCAGGACTTGTAGACAAATAAACGTGGATTTTTTAATGGATATTTTTTCACGGACCTCCATTAAAAAAACGTTCATTTTTTAAAGAATATTTTTTCAAGGACCTCAAGCCAAATACACATGTGCTTTTAATAAAATATTTTTCAAGGACCTCCAGCCAAATAAACCTGATATTTTAAAAGAATATTTTTTCAAGGATCTCCAGCCAAAAAACGTTCATTTTTTAAAGAATATTTTTTCAAGGACCTCCAGCCAAATAAACTTGAATTTTTTAAGCTATATTTTTTTAAGTACATGCAACAAAAGACCTGGATTTTTTAAAGAATACACCTTTTTAAAAGGTGTATTCTTTAAAGAATATGTTTAAGGATTAATAGACAAATAAACGTGTATTTTTAAAGAAGATCTCATTTCAAGAACTGGCAGACCAATAAAAAAGGATTTTTAAAGAATATATTTTTCCAAGACTAGTGGACCAATAAGCGTGAATTTTTAAAGAATATCTCTTTTCAAGGAACTCCATCCAAATAAATGTGGATTTTAAAGAGAAATTATAAGGATTCAATAATTTAAATAATCATAACGCAAGTCAAAAAATATTTATATCGACGAAAATTGGCTGAGGGTATACATTTGTTGGTAAACCCGACTGTTACTTTTTTTTAACATTTTTTAAGAATTTTTTTGAATTAATAATCATGGATTTTTTAAAAAAAAAGTTTTATAAGTTCCAACATAAAGTTTTTAAAAATATTTTTTTTAAAGACCAGTTGCGGAAATAAATTTTTTAAAAACAAATCGTGGATTTTTTTAGAATCTTTTGACGGACTTGTAATTATATTTTAAAACAAACCATCGTGGTTTTTTCAAAAGATTTTTTGAAGGACTTTAAAGGCAGAAATCGTCGATTGTGGATTTTTAGGAATATTTTTCGAGACTACTAGAAAAATAATCGCTGATTTTTAACATGGGCCTATTAAAGGTTAAATCGGGGATTTTCATTTAATATTTCCTTTATTTTTATTAATTTTATTTTTTTATTAAAATTTTTAAATTTTATTTTTAGGGACTACAAGCTTGAATTGTTTTGGTTAAAAAACCGGATTTTTGTTATCAATCTTCGATTTATTTTTATAATATTTTTCAGAATATTGTCTAATCTAGTTAATTTATAATTTTTTCTGAAACTTTGTTTAATAATTATTTCAAAATTGTAAATTTTTAAACACATCTCCTCAGCCTACACTTGTTTAAATGTACGTCCTCTAGTGGGGAAATATGTAGCAACTGCCTTTGTGGCACATTCTCACTTGCGCCTTAAAGTATGCTCTGAATTTTGGAAATTTCTTACGGTGGCAGCAAATTGACATGCTCTGTTTGTTTTTGGACTAGCGTCATGCTACTCTGTTCTGGTCGCCTAGTATTTTAATGAAATTTCAAAATCGCAGAAAAATTTCTAAACGTGACGTCACAAGGGGAGTTGGGGAGAACTTGTTTTTTCTGTGGCTAAATAATATGTTTTTCATGTTTTATATTCAGAATATTTTCTAAGTAGGTATATATAGGGAAATAATATATTTTAGGAACTCCAGTAGATTAAAAAAAATACATTTCACTATATATATAACCGATCTATATCGACTATATATAAAATAAAAGAGATGTGAAATAATAACTGACTTTCTAAAAATATATGCCCAGACGAAACGGTTATAGCTAGAATCTTCAAATTTTGCACGAGGGTCAATCTTGGGGCGTAGGCATATGGTAATGCTGGGTTTTTGGAAATTCGTACTAAAAGGTAACGAAAAGTACTAAAATGTACTAAAAAATTAATACTTTGTATTAGACAAACAGAATGAGCCAGAATTCTGAAATTTGGAATGAGAGTGGCTGATGGACTGCAGGATAGATGTACCAAAGTATTTTTTGAAAATTCAAACTTTAACGGTACGAAAAGTTCGAAATTCGTACTAAACTTCTAAAATGATTCCATTTGATGTTATGTGAACGGATAGAGCTAAAAACTTAAAATTTGGTATGAGAATCAAGATTGGAAAGTGAGTGTGATATATAAAGATGGTTTTGGAAATGTACCCTAAGTAAGCGAACTGTACTAAACCGTAATAAACTTGGAACAGTTTGGTTTTGGGTGAACGTATGAAGCTGGAATTTTGACATTTTGTATTGGGGTCCCTTCTGGTGCTAGGTTTGTGATGAGGAGGTGATTTTGGAAATGTGTACTACAAGTCCACGAAAAGTACTAAATAGTACCATAATTAGTACAATTTGGAATTGGGTGAACAGAAAGTGGTTGGAATCTTTAAATAAGTATTAGGGTCACTGTTCATGTGCAGCCTGGAGATATGGAGGTGGTTTCGGAAATGTGTATTTTAATAGTACGAAAAGTACTGAATGGTCCCAAATTTTGTATTGGGGAGACGGATAGAGATAAAATTCTCAAATGTGATATTTATATTACTGATGGTATCTGCGTTTGATATGTGGTGGTGGGTTGGAAATTCCCACCACCTATATATTTACGGAAAGTACTAAATGGTACTAAATTGGGAATTCCGTGAAGAAATAGAGATAAAATCCTAAAATATAATATGGATGTCACTCTTGGTGTCTGCTCTTAAGATATGGCGAGCCTGGCAATATGGAGGTGGTTTCGGAATTATGTACGAAAAGTACTAAATGGTACTAATTTTGGTATTGGGGGAAGGGATATGGTTGGAGTCCCGAAATTTGATATTGAGGTCTCTGTTGGAAGCTGAGATTGAGGTATGGAGTTGGTTTTGGAATGTGTACTTTAATTGTTCGAAAAGTACT